ATGGACATCTTCTAAATGAGACATCAGGAACTTTTGTTGCCTAGTCAGTGTGCCCAGGTAAAGACTTCTCAAGCTACAGAGCCACGAGAGCCTGGGCTCTGACCTCAGCAACCAGCACCAGGGGACATCTAGGTCTAGGGTATGGATTTAGTTCTCAGACCTTCAGCTTTGGCTAGGCTGCATCTGTATGTATGAGGGAGTGGGTTTCATGCAGGACTGAGTGGATATGGAATTCCCATTCCCTATCAGAACAGACCTGGCCATTCCAGGTTTTTCTGCATCTATTGCCATGGCTGTTTTCCTCTGCTCCCTTCCCTTCTCCCAGCTTCCATTACTTCTTTTTGCTCCCTGCTTCATTTTCCTTCTATTTTCTTCTTACTCCTCTCCTTTTCCTCCTTCTTCTCCTTTACTTTCTTTTCTTCATTTTCAAATTCATATTTTCTCATCCTTTCTTTCTAACCTTCTCCTCACATCCTCTTATGCTCATTGAAAGAACCCTAATTCCTCTCCCCTACCTCCCATTCTTCTCTTCCCATACCCCCTTCTCCTACTCCTCTTTCTCTACCTCCTTCCTCCCTCCGTTTTTCCCTCCCCACCCGTGTGTGTGTGTGTGTGTGTGTGTGTGTGTGTGTGTGTGTGTGTGTGTGCATGTGTGTGTGTTTCCTAACATTGGAATGAAACTCTAGGGTTAAAAATCATACTTCTGGGTTAGTAACTTGAAATAACTTGAGAAATAGGTAGAGGACTTCTGTAATGTATATTTTATAGACCAGGAAACAGAATCTCTCCTAGGCTTCAGCAAATTAAAACCTGAGATAACTGCAAGCCTCAAGTATATTGCCATACTGTGTTTACCAGCTGAGAGGCTCATTCAGCTGGGAAGGACCTCTGGTATTTTTGTCCCTTTAGTAGGAGGGTCTATCAACTGCAAGCAGCATGTTTTGTTAGGATCCAATTGCCACTGTTTAAGAGACAGAAATAATGAAATGGAGAAATGTTTCATCGATGGTTGTAAATTCCCCAGGGAAAAAATAACTGAAGTGCTGTTTATGACAGAAAACTATAATTAGGAGTAATGGGGAGAGATTAAGGAAGTGAAACAACAAGTCTTAAGACAGCTCCAGTGTGAGGTATTCAGATTTAATTGTGTTTTTTAAGTAATGTCCGACTCCCAGATGTTGGAGTGATAAAGACATTTTACAAATGAGTGGATAAACAAATGACTCCATAATCCACACAGTCAACTATGTGTCTCACAATCAAGATGCTGTCTCTAAACTGTGCATTTGCATTTAGAATTGGTGTTTCGATATGCAAAAAAAAAAAAAAAAAAAAAAGCCAACCTCTTCTATTGGGCTGACAATGTGTTAGTTACTTATTTCTGGTGGGAAAAAAAATCATTCCTTCCCTGCTCCCCAGCACACACAGGATGCCCGGTCTCTTCAGATTATGAAATATGTGTGTGTTGTGAACCATTTATGAGTTGAAGACTCACACACTGGGAGGTTAATTTATCCAAGTGAATGTTATAATCAACCATTTCAAATGCATTTTTCAGATCCCAGGAGGCTTCAGGAGTGAAGGTAGGAAGATAGTCAGGATAATTTTTATGTCTCTCCCACCGCTACAGACACAGATTAATATGGCTATTCAGAAGTAGACCTACAGGAGACCTATGGGAATTTAGAGAAGAGCCCCCTGGTTTCCTGCTTTGCTGTAGAATCAAATAACATGGAGGTTTTTTATCCTAAAATTTTTTCATTAGATAAGCTACTATTGTTATTTAAAACTTAATAGTGGGAATATGTCTAGCTGATACAATAAATGCAGCCACAGTTCCATAATTATGAATGCCAGGAACAGTTTGAAATACAGCAAATGAAGATGCACTTAGCACTAACCACTCACAAGAGAGTGGAGAGCCAGGCTGTCGATCCATCCTCTGAATAGAGAGTACATGAGGGCATGTGCACATGCATACACATGTACCTACATAGACAATGCCTAGCATTTTCTTACTGGTGGCTCTTAGATAAAAGATGGCCACTGATTGAGATATGTAGGTTATTGATGTCCGATTTTTGATACACAACAGAAACGGTGACATCACATACATATGTGAGTTTCAAAGGCTTCGAGGCAGCACTGACAATCATGTAGTTTTCCTGACTATAAGGACAGACATATACTAATGATGCACTAACATGTTTACATGACTCATTTGGCTTTTTCTAAGTGCCAGCAGGAAGTGCCTCTAGTCACTAATTCCAATGTCAAAGGGATTCTAAGACTTATACATCATGAAAGATTCACTTTTCCTTTCACTTTTCCTTTCTGAAACTAACAAGATACACTGACATTGGAAAGCCACTATGAAAGAATTCAAAGCAAATACAACACTGTCAAGCTCACTGATGAATTAAATCTCTTTGCCTTTAACTTCTAATAAACATTCCTTATTGAGGACTAGTTTTGGATCAGGGTCTCAGTCTGTATGCCCCTCATATATATATATATAAACAGTTGTGGAGAAATTCCGAGAAACTTTGATGATAAGTCTGTTTCTCATGCCCTTCCAACTCATGGCACTCAATACTCAGATTTCTAGAACCTCTTTTTGGTGTGCATCCCTTCACTGATCAACCAAATTGGTGAATTCTGGTGTGCTAAATTCTCTGAGGTCTGTTGGGTTTTTCTCCTTGTCCTGTCTCAGTAATTCTGTACTGTGTAATTAATTTTCACAGTGGTGAAATTAATGGTGATTTTTCTGTTTTCAAAGAGCCTTTATTTATTATCATAACAAGGACAACTGATTAAAATACATAGCTTTCTGAGAGCACTGACTATGGCTTCATCACCCACGCCCAGCTCAGTGGCTGTCACAAAAATCAAGGCCCATTAATTTTGTCTGAATTATGTGAAAAACACCAGGACTCTGCAACAAATCTTTTAATGGTGCTAGAATCACATGTAGGACTTTGTGGCCAATATTTTTAATGTGAGTCAGTGTTCTCTGAATCCTAGATCCCTTGCTGGTCAAATCAGTAAGTATTTATTCAGCAGGCATAAACAGATGCATGTTTTGTAGGAAGAGTTTAATTGACTCATTCACTGCCCTTTCAGAGTTGACAGTTTCAATTTCTTTTCCTGATAAGACTAAGTAACTTAAATCAGTTAACAGGATATGACAAATTGCCATCATCACTCTTGCAAACCTTTCTATATTCAGATGTCTGTCTCCTCTTCCAGGTTCCCAGGCAAATAAACACATACTAATCACAAGCTGAAAACCCATAAGCTTGGTCATTCACAATGTGGCCTAACTGGCTTCACTCTCAAAAGAATCAAAGATCGCACCAATCTTGTGGTCTCAACTTTTGTTAAAATCAAAGGGATCCCTTGTTCATCAGTCTAAGCATCAGTTCTGAGCAGTGCTAGATGTGGAAAGTAATAGTCTTTTGCCAATTATAGGAGAGAGGATATCTTACAAATTGTCCATGAGTTGTAGATTCAATAAAATACTTTCTATCTTACCTTTGTATAAGCATTTAGGCTTGGAAGGCATAAAGCTAGGAATATAGCTCAGTTGACAAAGTGCTTGTCTAGCATGCAGGAAGCCTAGAGTTCTAATCCAGGACCACAAACAACAGGTGTGGTGACCCATGTCAATAATCTCATCTCTCAGGAGGTGAAGGTTGGAAAAACAGAAGTTAATTATAATCCCTAGCAACCTAGTGATCTTGAGACCAGTCTGGGTTACAAGAGACCTTGTTTGACAAAGAAGGAAGAGAAGGAAGTGGAGGAAAAGGTAGAGGGAGGAGGAGGTAGGGGAAGAGGTCTCTAAAACCACTGGACTGTATCACCAGCCTATGAAGTCAGCAAGAAATAGATGACACACAGGATAGAGCACAAAAGTCTTTGACTCTAAGTCCAGATTTTTGTTTTTGTTTTTGTTTTTTTTTTATGTGTCTAAAGAAGGAAAGAAAAGGAAAAGAGGGAAAAAAGGACAGGAGAAAAAGTAGGTGTGGGGAGGAGAAATGTGTGAGGTTGAGAGGAAGCAAAGGTGGTGAAATGAGAGGAGAGAAAGAGAGCAGGGAGGTGCATGTGAGTTTCATGAGAGTGGCATGCCACAATTTGTGTGTGGAAGTCAGAGGGCAACTCTGAATGTCAGTTTCCACTTTCCCCCCTTGTTTGAGACAGTGCCCTCACCTCTGTGCAAGCCAAGTTAGCTGAACAGATGACCTCTGCAGATTCTCCTGTCTTTGCCTTGTCTCCTGAAGCACAGTGGGACTGTGGACATTTGTGCTATCATGTCTGCCTTTAACATGGGCTCTGCAGATCCAAACACATGTCATTAGGTTGAGTAGTAAGAGCTCTTGCTCAATGAGCCATTCCTTAACACATATTTGTAAATGACTAATCATTCTTCTCTGGGTATCAACTATTTATGCTTTACTTTCTTCATATTTAAAATGATAATATTCTCTGCATCATATTGTTATTATGAAGAAAAGTGAATTTATGTTTATTAATGATATTATATATGTATGAATGTGTATGATGTACATTAAGCAAACAGTGTCAACTATAATTTTCATTAAGTAGTATAATTTTCATTAAGCTAATAATATTTTTAAAATACTGCTATTATTGAAACAATTTCTGGATATTATTAATTTGTACATCCATAATAGAAAACAGTTTGGAAAGTTTTTTACAAAGGAATAAAATAGACTACAATAAAATGTTACCCAACTGCTGGCAACATAACTAAGAAAATGACAAAAAATTAGTACACCAAAGAGATTGATGTACCATTTACAATAATGACAAAATATATTAAAATCAAGGATTTCTCAACATGCAAACAGATAAAAAATGTACAGTGCCCATATACATCTGAATATCTTTCATTCTTCAGAAAGAACTGTTTTTCACTTTCAAAAACATGGATGAGTCTGAAGAACATAAATTAAATGAACCCAGGCACAGAAAGGCACATGGTCTTATTCTGTGTGGAGTACATAACAGTTAATCTTGTGGAAATAGCCAGTGAAGTTGGGCTCCTTTTTACCAACCACACGAAGGAGGAGGTGAATGAGTGGTTCACAAAGTATACAGAAAGGGATTTTGCTTCAGCTGGGAACAAAGCAACTTTAACTGTGAGCCTGGATCCAGGGCTCCTGGAGCAGTTCCCTCATTCCATGGAGCCACAGCTGAGGCAGCAGGGCCTACCCATTGCCCTCAAGAAAGGTGTGGTGACCCTGCTATCTGACTATGAAGTATGCAAGGAGGGCGATGTGCTGACCCCAGAGCAGGCCCGTGTCTTGAAGCTTTTTGGGTATGAGATGGCTGAATTCAAAGTGACCATCAAATACATGTGGGATGCCAAGTCTGGAAGGTTCCAGAAGATGGACAATGACCTACCTGAGAGCACAGCTGAGTCTGAGGGAGATTCCAAGGAAGAGGATGACAGCTGACTCTTAAGACATGGGACTAAGGCCTTACAGCAAGTTCTACCTCTGCAGTAGACCACCAGGATGCTGTCACCCTCTGAAGACTGAAGCTCTTAATTTTGCTTTGGATTAAGACAATGGAGGATGCTGGGGCAGGACTTTGTTTCTACAAAGAATAAAATTTAGTCCACAGGGCTTTCCCTGTAGACATCAAGAGACTTCTCCTAGGAAATAGGCCTTCCACTTGGTGCTTCTGGTTGGGGCCTGCATAGCCCGGCTCTTTGACAGCACAGCACTGCAGATAGCTGACAGCAGCTCCCAGAGTTGGATATCCTCTCCAGGCCTTGTCTGGAATGGATTGGCTAAGGAAACTTTAATGCCTAGGTGGAGACAGAAAGATTAAGAATTAAAAGTTCACTTTGGCTACCAAAGCCCTTGTCTTAGAAACTAAAGCAAATTGCTTGGTAGGAATGAATTGAGGTTGAGGGTATAGGTCAGTTGTTAACTCATCTTGCAGGTGAAAGGTCCTTCATTTGTGAGGGAGAAAGGAAAAGTGTCAGAACTGGTATCTTCTACCACTCTTTTAAATAAGTGTTTAGTCACAGTGACTCAGCAATTTATTCTTCTGGCATTATTATTCAAGGATATGAAAAGATATATTCATACAAAAGAGAATATACTTTATTCTCAGCTCAACATGGAATCTTCACTGAAATTGACCAACATACTTAGGCAATAAAGAAAACCTCAACAGATTTTAAAAAATGGAATAGCCCCTGAATTTTACCATACCACCATGGCTTAAAATGAGAATTCAGCAACAACACAAACTGAAGAAAACATACAAACTCATGGGAATTGAACACTGCTCAACTGCAATACTCCTGAGTGAAGGACGAAGTAAGAAAAACAATCAAAGACTTCCTAGAATACAATGAAAATGAAGGCACAACATACCCAAACCTATGGAACACTCTGAAACTAGTGCTAAGCTGAAAGTTCATAGCACTAAGTGCCCACATGAAGAAACTGGAGAATAGTCACACTAGAGAATTAACAGAACACCTGAAAGCTCTAGAACAAAAAGAAGAAAACTTACCCAGAGGAGTAGACACCAAGAAATAATTAAATTGATAGCTGAAATCGATAAAGTAGAAATAATGGAAACAACACAAAGAATCAAGGAAACAAAATGGCAGACAGCTTGTACTAACTTTTTGGAAACAATTAACAATTATCCCAAAACTGACAGAATTAAATTCATAAAAAAGAAAATTGGATTCTTCCATGTATCATAAGAAAAACACCTATCTCTGGAGTCCCTACCTTCTACACTGATGTGAACAAATCAGGTTAAGGCAGGATATAAATCATGAGATATAAGCAAAGTAGTTCAAAGTCCATATAACTCTGTACAGAAAGCAGAATTATATGCAATTCTTGGTACTTATGGACTTTACAGAGCCTCTCAATATGTTGAGAGAGCCATTTTACACATTGAGACTGTTGAATTCATTCCAGAGAATACAGAATTAACTTCACTATGGGTCTGCCAGGCTCACTGGCAGAAGGCAATGACCAGATTGATTGTTTATTAATAGGAAGCATGCTAGGAGCCTCAGAATTTCATGAGAAACACCATGTAAATAACAAAGGTTTAAAAAAGGATTTCTCCATCACTTGGCAAGAAGCCAAGGTGATAGTGAGAAACTGTCCTACCTGTTTGTTCTATAATCAAGTTCCATTTCCAGCAGTCTGTAATCCAAGGGACATTTGGAGAAATGATGTCTGGCAGATGGATGTCTTTGACTTTCCAGAATTTGGAAATTTAAAATATGTACATCATACTATAGACACATTTTCAGGGTTTCAATGGGCTACTGTCCTTAGCTCTGAAAAGGTAGATTCAGTTATAATACACCTGTTAGAGGCAATGGCCATTATGGGTATACCTGAACAAATAAAAACTGACGATGCTCCAGCATATGTCTCCACCAAATTGGAACCATTTTTCAAATATTATAACATAAAGCAGGTAACTGGTATACCACACAATCCCACAGGACAAGCAGTGGAAGAGAGATCTAATCGCACACTAAAGGAAATGCTCTATAAACAAGCAAGGGGAACAAAAAACCCCAAACACAGGTTACATAATGCTTTATTAACACTAAACTTTCTTAATGCTAACGAGAAAGGACAAACCGATGCAGAAACACACTGGACTACAGAAAAACCTGCTGAACTGTATACTTCAAAGATGTATTGACCTCTGTATGGAAACAAGGACATGTGTTATGTTGGAAAAGGGGTTTCACCCTTGTTTCCACAGGAGAAGGAAAGCTTTGGATACCATCAAAATTAATCAAGATTTGAGTCAAACAAGAAAAACCTCTTGATGAGGAGAAATGACAGGTCATTCACCAAGGTATATCTCATGAACTGTATAGAAAGCTCACAAAGGAAAGGGAGGTGTTTTGTTTTTATCTTCATAGGGAAACTCATCTCTAGAAAGCAAAAAGACACTGCATGGGGTGATACTAAAATAATAGAGGGTAGCTATCCAAAAAGGACCAAAAGGAATTTGCCATATGGTAAACACTACAGCTGTATCTTGGTAAAATCTATTTCTCTTTACTTGCTAGTCCCTATTCAAGTAAACCAACCCTGGCATTAGAGTTGTATTTGGCTTTCCTCCTCTAAATGCAAGCATGTTGCTAAAACAAAATTCAGAGTTTCTGTACTTTATCAAGAAGCCAATTGAAGTAATACAGAATAAGAAAAAATTGGGGACTGTCATATGTTTATTCTCGGCTCTTTCTCTAAAAATATAAATTCCCTCACAATTATTTTCATTATTGTTGCCCCTCCCAGTATGCATACATATAAAAGTTAAAATTTCTCTGCTGATATTAATGTGACTAAAGAACTTTCTAACAGCAATCCTTGAACTCTCTGAAAAGAAAATGGGCCCCACTTAATTGAGTCTACTGGATCCAACTGGATGCATTGGACAGACAATCACCACTCTAAACTAATTTTGGACTACATCAACTCCAAAACAGCTAGCTGAGATGGTGCAGGTTCTATTACACTCTGGCCAGAGCTTCAGGTGATAACTTCAATCGACATAAGGACTTCAACCTGACCTTCAACCAAGCATCTCCCTCCAAATACAGACTGGATACATGTGTTGCAGATAATTCACTCAAGACTTTCACTACTCTAACATTTTCTTCCTACAGGACTCCATGAGGCTATCTTCATCCCATTTCAGCAGGAAGTAACTCAAAAAATACTACACCCCTTACCCCCCCTTTCCCCACTGTTAACACTAAGGATAATGTACACCTAGTAAGGGCTAGTTTTCTATTGTTTAGGGTTGGGTTTGGAAGGAGGTGTTCAGGATTGGACATCTCTTTGAGATGATTTTAGAGTTTAGATGAAATAGATATAGTTAGGAAGTGATATGTGCAGATTATTATATCTTCTTGTAATTCACCTTTATGATTGTTAATTATAGATAACTTACATGGTTATATATCCTTGTATGAGGTAACTTAGGTATAATTTGTTTATCACACATCATCGAACTCTGTAAAGTCTTCTCTCTTGATGTATGATTTTACATATGTTAAGACGTTTTGTATACAATTTAGTTTTGTCTCAAGTTTAAATCCTCTTTAGACAAAAAGGGGAGTTGTAGGGAGTGACCCTGGTCACAGGTACTGCTGACCATGCCCAAATGGGCATGGTCGCAGGTACCTAACTGGGGGGTTATGAAGCAGGGAGACAAGAAATCGGCTCTCTGGCTAGGATGAGCTGACTGGGAAATATTTCTGGGTCCATCCTTGCATGAGTATTTTCCCCTAAAAAACTATTATCAACCTATCTCTGGCTACACCTTGTATTCATCAATAGGAGACCACTTCCTGAACATATAACACCAGTAGCACAGACACTGAGATCAACAATTAATAAATGGGACCTCCTGAAACTGAGAAGCTTCTGAAAGTCAAAAGACATAGTCTACAAGACAAAATGGCGGCACACAGAATGGGAAAATATCTTCTTCACCAACTCCACATCAGTCAGAGGGTTGATCTCCAAAATATACAAAGAACTCAAGAAGTTAGTCACCAAAACACTGAATAATTCAATTTAAAAAAATGGGGTACAGAAGTAAACAGAGAATTCTCAATAGAGGAATCTAAAATGGCTGAGAGACACTTAAGAAATTGCTCAACATCCTTAGCCATCAGGGAAATGAAAATCAAAACAACTCTGAGATACCATCTTATACCCATTAGAATGGCTAAAATCATAAACACCAAAGACAGTTTATGCTAGAGAAGATATGGAGAAAGGGGAACGCTTCTCCATTGCTGGTGGGAATGCAAACTTGTACAACCACTTTGGAAATCAGTATGGTGATTCCTCAGGAAAATGGGAATCAATCTATCACAAGATCCAGCAATTCTACTATTAAGCATATACTCAAAAGAAGCACATTCATACAACAAGGACATCTGTTCAATGATGTTCATAGCAGCATTATTTGTAATAGCAAATACCTGGAAGCAACCTAGATGCTCCTCAACTGAAGAATGGATAGAGAAAATGTGGTACATTTACACAATAGAGGACTACTCAGTGGAAAAAACTGGAATATTGAAATTTGCAGGCAAATGATGGAACTAGAAGAAACCATCCTGATTGAGGTAACCCAGTCACAGAAAGACAAACATGGTATGTACTCACTCACATATGAATACTAGACATAGAGTAAAGTATTAGCAGCCTACAATCCATATCTCCAGAGAAGCAATGAAACAAGGACCATAACAGAGACATATATGGTCCCTCAGAGAAGTGGAAATGACAAGAGTCCCTAAAAATTGGGAACATATGGGGTCATGGGAGGGAGGTAGCAAAAAGAGAAGGGGAGAAGAGGAGGTGCGAGAACATGAGGGATCAGGAAGATTCACTGGGAAGAAGAATAGAGGAGAACAAGAAAAGAGACA